TTTTTGCGACTTTTCCTAAAAGATAATAAACAACTATAAAGAGAATTAACATAAGACCAATGCGCAATGGAACATAATAGAACGTGCTACTTATAAAGAAAATCCCACATGCAGCTTTGATAAACGTAATCATGTTAAATAAGAAAAGGGTAATAGACACTACCTAGCTAAACGGTTATTATAAAAACAACAATTGTAGAGGGAAAATATGTTTATCTATATAGATCCAGAAACGTAAAGGTTTAGGCTAACTCGCGCGATACCACATGATAGGTGGTCGTTTTGTGCATTGCAGAATTACTAAATAGAATTAGATTTGTAGAAATTATAATTACGCAAGAAAATGCATTAAAATATGAGGTTTTACTATGAAAAAAAAGAAACAAGCAACGTCACAAAGGCTGCAATAAGCACGGTTTAGATATTTAACTGTATAACCTATATTTTTCTGCAAGATCATTTAACTCTTTTTAACTAACGATTTTTCGATATATGAATTTTGATTTGTTTCCTTGTACATTTTGTTTTTATCGCGATGAGTTTGTATTTTAAGATACATCCGTCACGTTTCGAAACAACAAGGAACAAGATACGTTTCGAAAAATTACACGCCACAGTTTCTGGATAATACGTTGACATCGTATGATATCCAAGAGGAAGCGAACTAGCAAACATGAATGGCAGCCACCTATGAAAAACAAGTATATATGATACACCTGTAAATAGATAGATAGATAGGTAGATAGATAGATAGATAGATAGATTGTAGACTGTAGATAAAACTAGATTGGGGTTAGAGCTTACTTACTCGAGTGATACCTTCCCGTACAATAACAACGTCCGAAAATTCTGAAGTAGGTTAAACGTGACTTTGGTTGGAAAAATTCCACTGTTCGAATATACTAATACTATGGCAGTTATAAGCACACACTAACTGTGATAATCGTAAGCACTAACATATATACACTGAACCTTTGGAACTTTACCACTGGGAAGCTTCGGGTTTGAAAATATCTACGTGTGGCAATTGTGATTGCGCTTTGGCTCTATATTATAAATAGTTCCCGTATGATTACATAGTTACCGACGGTGACTGATCTGATAGCAAACCGTGGCAGGTACAGTTCTAAATATGTATCACTAGATTTATCCGCTTCACTCGATCTGCTAGGGCCAATGATAACAGTGCGGCAAACCGATCGAAATCTTGTCCGGCATGAGCCTCTTTTGGACAGACGCCCCGCTCTGTCCGCTGTTAGGTTTTTGTTCACAGCCTACCTAGCTGAAATTCGCTATTCTATGACGGGAGATGATCATTAAGTTAGTCGTTGAATTAGCGCCTAGGACATTGTGTCATTTTTCCCGAGATGTGAATATCTTCCACTATCGTGACGGTTTACGGAGGCAAATTTCAGCCCTGGCAAAGAGCCAGCCGCTTCGTATTTTCTTCCTTTTCTATCACTGACCTTGGGCAGCAATTGAGTATTATACTAACATTTAAGTTCTACTGCACTACGTTCATTACACCGATGCAAGTAACGTATACAGAATCGTATGTGTGTACTGTGCTCAAACGTATAGCTTTCCCCTTTTCTACCGTCTACAGCCTCAGCTATGTGCATCAACCACTTTTGAAGAGAAACGAACGGCTTCTGGTTGGAAAAGGTCCGACAAATCAACCTCATGAAGCAAAGTCCCTTCGGATGGCGGCTGCTGCCAATTTCGTTCTATCTCTGCCTTTCCTATAGGGAACTCAAGGATTTTTCCCACCAGTGGAGAAGGAAAGCGACAGATTCAACTCGCTTCCTCTCTTTCCGCTCGCGAGACGTTAGAGCGATTGAAATGGTGAATCGCAAAATCTACCCTTGAGGGTAGATTTCAGCTCTACGCGTTGAAATGGCACTGCTGCACTCCGTGCCGTTACAATACTGTCCGGGTGCTGACGATCTCGAGTAACATACATACGACTAATCAATCTTGTACATCGGAGAGAGCGTTAGTCGTTCACCCACACCTGCTTTCTTTCTCTTTAACTTCAGTGACCTACCTCTGTCTAGAAGTGACTGACGATTTGCCACGGCTCCGATCTACGCGTTGACTATAGCGGAAAAGGGACGAGGGACGTTTAGCCTCTAGCTGAGCTCAACGGAACCAACCTTGTGATACAAGCAGATCATCATAAACCGACAAGAAGAGGGAATTAAGCCGCTTAGAATTATTCACCATTGTTCACAGGTCTCCGCAGTCAACGTCGTCGTCGTCGTCTCTGTCATCGTTTTCTCCATCTACCCATCGCTATCTTTCGTAGCTACACCGCGTCCCTCATGAAGGCTGTAGAGATCGCTCTTGAGATCAGTTTCAAGTGCTATGCGGCTGTATAGTGGCTGGCCTCCGTCTCATCTAGCACACACTCGTAGCGCATGCTTGTATCAATCAGGATCATCAAAGGAATCTTGTCCATTTGGTCCTTTTTATCTTCATGAAGCGCTTTATGGATCGAATACTACTTGCTCCCTTTGATCGCTCGGTGGAATTTGACACAATTTTCGAAGTGTCTTCTTGCGGAAACGATAAATAAATAAAATGCATTTTTGCAACCTGGTGCAAAATTGCTGTGTATTGATGACGACAGCTAGGCCACCAAGATTCACTGTTAGAGTTATATCGACCATTCAAGACTCATAAAACACAAACGAACCACTCACAAGAGGCAGAGCCCATAATCGTATTAGTATGAACAAATTGGCTGCATGTGATTGGGTTTTACGTGCGCACCATTTCATATAT